ACACAGAACCCTCATAAGGAGCCAGTCTTGGGAACATTTTGGGGAAGAGTTGTATCAGGCAGAGGGAACAGCTAGTGCAAAGGCCCTGAGACAGAAAGAAACTCTTGTCAAGGACAGGAAGGAGGCTAGTGTGGTTGGAGTATGGCCAGTGAGGGGGAGAGTGGTAGATAAGGCTGGCGGGGTGGTTGGGAGTTAACTCATACAGAGATTCCTAGGCCATAAAAAGGAGGGGGGGGCGGCAGGCAGGCTCAGTGAGAGGAGCATGTGACTCTTGATCTCTGGGCGGTGAATTCCAGCCCCACATGGGGTGTAGAGATTACTAAAAATAAATAAATAAAGGAAGGGGGGTTATTCTGAATGCAGTAGGAATCTATTGGGTTTTAAGCAGAGGAGTGGTGGGTAGGGTGGAGAACGGAGAGAGTGGAGGGGTGCGGAAGTGTAAGAGTTGGGTCAGTGGAGGCTGTCCAGTTCCATGTCAGGCAAAGAGGACCTTTCTATGATTTGCACAAACTTCTTCCTTTTCGCCCCAGAAGAGGCCCTTCTGTTTCACGATGCTGAAGTCTGGGGACAAAACCCATGCATGCCTTAGTGGGGATTTTAATACTTCAGTCGTATCTCTTCCTGTCAACCCCCCTGCAGTGTGAGACCAGGCCCCCTGGCCCAAGAGTTAGGATGTGGATGCACCATTTAATCAGCAAGCATTCACTGAAAGTCACTGGGGAGAAAGGGGACACGACTCGTCTCCAGGCCTGAGCAGCTCACTGTCTGGTGGGGGGAGACCTGTGGACAGGCGGTTACTGTGCCACAGGGCTGAGGACTCAGACTTGTGTGGTATGGGTGTCCTCCGTAGAGGTGTCTGAAGCAGAGGGGACAGGGGGATTTCACTGAGGGCTTTGCGGGGAGCTGGTGATTAAACTGCGTCTTGGTGTCTCTGCGCAGAGAAGTGCAGAGGGCACTCTGGACACAGGAACAGCTTGTGCAAAGGAAGCGAATGTTTAATTACACAGGGCTTGTGTGTCAGGCCACGCAGTGTTGAGTCAAGGGGTGACAGGGTTTGATGTGTTGTTTCGGAGGGATCACCTGGTGGATCATTTCTGTGCAGGTGAGACCTTGGGGAGGAGGGCTTGAAATGGACATGAAATGCCACTGGATTCATCATGAGGTTGTAAAAGACAAATGCACGTGCTCATCCACCCCAGTGCCAGATGACCAAGGGGGTTCAGGCAGAGTGGTTCACCAGGGACAGACTGAGTTAGCCTCCTGGGCTTTCTGGGTGGGATACAGGCAAGCCGTTCTGTTTCCCCAGCTTCTTTATTTTATTTTAGATTTTTTAATTGAGTTAATCAGACTTCTCAGTTCATTATACATTTAATTGGTTCAGGCAGGGCTTTCATCTCTTTTGTATTTATTGATGTATTCTCTTTTATCCCCATTCTTCCTCCCCCACCCACTGTAGGAAACCATTCTGATGTGTTTGCATGTGTCTTTGGTTGTATGCATAGATTTTTTTCTTTAAAGACACTCTAGGGCTCCTGGGTGGCTCTGTTGGTTAGGCAGCTGCCTTCTGCTTGGGTCGTGGTCCTGGGGTCCTGGGATCAAATCCCGCGGCGGGCTCTCTGCTCAGCGGGGAGTCTGCTTCTCCCTCTGATCCTCCCCCCATCATGCTCTCCCTCTCTCTCAAATGAATAGATAAAATCTTAAAAAAGAAAAAAAAAAAGACACACCCTAGAGGCACCTGGGTGTCTCAGTCGGTTAAGCATCTGCCTTCAACTCAGGTCATGATCAGAGAGAGGGTCCTGGGATCGAGCCCCACGTCCGGCTCCCTCCTCAGTGGAGAGCCTGCTTCTCCCTCTCCCTCTGATACCCACCCCCGTCCTGTGCTTGCTTGCTCTCTGCCTCGTGCTCTGTCTCACAAATAAATGAAATCTTTAAAAAAAATTTTAAAAAGCCACACTTTATTTATTCTTAATATTTTTTTAAATTTAGTTTTTATTGAGAGAGAGAGACCTCACGAGGTGGGGAGCAGCAGAGGGAGAGGGAGAGAGAATCTGAAGCAGACTCCGCTCTGAGAGTGACCCTGAGATCATGACCTGAGCCAAAATCAAGAGTCCGATGCTCAACCAACTAAGCCCCCCAGACACCCCTATTTTCTTTTTTTCTTTGTTTTTAAGTAGGGTCCACTCCCAACATGGGGTTTGAACTCACAACCTTGAGAACAAGAGTCGCACGCCGTACTGACTGAGCCACCCAGGTGCTCCTGCATATATACATTTTTAATTTACCATAAATGGTATTCTGCCTAGAGTTCATTTTGCTTTATTTCCCCCTCAGTACCATGTTTGGGGATGTTACTGATGCTCCTGTCAGTATATCTAGAACCTGGTTTCTAAGTGCTATGCAGGTTTCCATAGATGCCTTTCCCATGTTTTACTTCCTTGACTTACCAGTTCCCCAGGGCTAAGGCTCCTAGATCGTCTGCCCCTTCCTGCCACAACAGAGTGCTGGGATGAAAATCCTTGTATGCATCTTCTTCCTCAGCTTTTTTTTTTTTTTTTAAAGATTGTATTTATTTGAGAGAGAGCAAGCAAGCAAGCATGAGTGGGCGAGGAGCAGAGGGAGAGGGACAAGCAGATTCCCCGCTGAGCAGGGAACCCAGCGCGGCTGGATCCCAGGACCCTGAGATCATGCCCTGAGCCGAAGGCAGATGCTTAACCCACTAAGCCACCCAGGCGCCCCCTTCCTCAGCTCTTTAATACAATTTCAGGATGCTGACTTGGGCTTCCCTGAGATAATCCTTTCATCAGTTGGTGTCCGCCAGGGCTAGTCTGTTTGACCTTGGTGAGGTCCTGACCTTTTTTTTAAATTTTATTTATTTATTTGACAGAGACAGCACAAGCAGGGGGAGCGACAGGCAGAGGGGAGAAGCAGGCTCCCTACTGAGCAGGGAGCCCGATGAAGGACTTGATCCCAGGACCCTGGGACCATGACCTGAGCCGAAGGCAGATGCTTAACCGACTGAGCCACCCAGGTGCCCCAGTCCTGACCTTTTCTGAGCTGTATTTATATTTGGTAAATTGTGATTCTGGTTCCCAGACTCTTGGCAAACATTTCTCTTGTGCTGCCATCTTTCCTAGGTGACCGTCTCACAGCCTCTGTGGTTAATTTCCTGTTTCTTGTCATCATTAATCATTGCTATACACTTATTCCAATCACACATCTTGGCCACTTTCCCTTCCTGGTGAGATAGCGGGCTGTTAAGCTGGTCCAGAGAGTAATGTGATGCGAAGTGTTTCCGAGAAGGGCTCTGGAGCCGGAAGCCCTGGCTTCACTTCTCAGGTCCTCCCTTTCTCTTATTTAATCTTTCTGTGTCTCATTCTCTTATCTGTAAAGTGGGTCTAATAATTGTACCTACCTTATATTGATGCTTATACCTTAAGCATCAATTAAATAAATTAGTTGATGCATGCAACGTTGTTAGAATGGTGCTTGTCACATAATAAGCCCCAATGAAATGTTTAATAATAGCAGTAATAATTATGATTATGATATTGTTTCAGACAGGAGTCCCTGGTATATTTTGCCCATGATGGATCATATTCAGTTATAGGGTGTTTGCTCAGGGGGCACGAAGAGGAAGGCATGTCTTCCGGACATCATGATTATGATTACAAATTCTAGTGTGAAGACATCAACTGTAAGGAGAGAGGGCAAAAACACATCTCAGGCCCTGGTTTCCATTTCCCCACTGCTCATCCACTGTAAGGAGACAGTGACTACGGGCTGGGCCAGGAGGATGAGGCCAGGACTGGCGGTGCTGGGGGGAATGGGGAATCTGGTGAAACCTGGAGCATCCCAGTGGTCACCTTGGCCATAGGATTCTTGTGATGACCCTTCTTTGAGAGAATGGACTGCTGGCCAGATTTGAACATTTGAGAGAGCCCTTCATTTCAAATCCTTTAGATGGAAGGATAGGGAGGAAAGTCTGTCGCCAGCATTTTGAGGGCTGTTCACATGGTGAGTGTCAAAGGCTGCTCTGGAATAGAGGGGGGCAGTGGCCCAGAGTGGAAGGGACTTAGGAAGGGCACCTCTCTGGTGGGACCAGAAAAGTCAGCTTTCTTTTAGTGGTATAATGAGGAGGGATGGGTATGTCACATCAACAGGAGATGTTCTAGTCTGATGGGGGAGAAGGGCCCTCAAATAGGTCCTTACCTGGTGATCAAAACTGAAACAAGGGTGCCACGTGGGAGCTGAGGGAGCCAGGTGGCAGCAGGGAGGAGGGGATGGCTGCTGGAGGAGGTGGTCTCTGAGCCGACGCGGAAAGGATGAGCTGGCTTCTCAAGCAGTTGGTGAGGGAAGGGCTAACAACCTAACAGAGAGGAAGCAGCATGAACCCGGGCCCGGAGCTGGGAGGGAGCAGCGGTTCTGGCTGGCTGGACACAGGGTGAGCAGCAGGGGAGACGGAGGCTGGAGTGGTGGGCAAAGCCCATCAGGCACACGTGCTTGGCAGTTGTTCCTGAGGCTTTTCAATTATCAGCCATTCAAGGGCTGCCTTCATGGCTTCCAGCACTGTAGTCTGTGGGAAACCAAGCCCACTAATTGAAGAAGAAGGTGCTTATGATGAGTATATAAACATGCATGCAATATGAAAATAGGCAGTATTTGTATGTATTTCTAGTAGATAGCATTGCCTGCTGAGGACTCTGTGAGGCCTACTCTCTCCCCTGATTCAAAAGAAATGAACAGGGATTATAGAATGAAAAGAGTTGGAAACGGTAATTTGGTCACCATGATTCAAAACACATGTCCTCACGCCCGCCTGGTCCCTCCGGGGCACCCTGGCTCAGGGTGACAGGCACTGTGGACACGTATGTTAAGCCAGGAATTTCTGCGCGAGGATAAATGACGTGGGCGTGGTGAGGGGGGCCTGGGGGCCCTCCGCGGCAAGCTCCCCAGCCCAGGTGGGGCCTGCCGCAGCCGACCCCTCCCACCCACAGGCAGAGGCCACCATGGAGCAGTGTGCAAGCGTGGAGAGGGAGGTGGACAGGGTCCTGCAGAAGTTCCTGACCTACGGGCAGCACTGCGAGCAGAGCCTGGAGGAGCTGCTGCACTACGTGGGCCAGCTGAGGGCTGAGTTGGCCAGTGCAGGTGCGTGTGTCCCCCGCCCCGAGCCCCACGTCTGCCTCCCTGGGGGCCTGGGAGCTCCCCAAGGCCACTTGGTGATGGGCTTCTAGAAGGATGATGGTTTGGACATCAGTCCGTGGATGCCTAGGCCTCCTTCGGGTGGGGTCATGGAAGTCATTCCGAGCTATTTCAGAAAGCCCAACAGAAATTATTAGTTTACCTGAGATTATTTTCACTTAGATTTTCATTTTATATTCTCTTTTCCATTTGCTTTTCTACTTTGAATTTTTAAGACATTTTGAGATCATTTCAAATTTACAGAAAACACCAACTGCTTATATGGTGCCATGCTGGCTTTATCACTTCTTTCGCCTACTCTTACTTTTTAACCATTTGAAAGTCAGTTGCAGCTATCCTACCACTTTCCCCCTAAACTTTCAGTGTGTATTTCCTAAGGTCAAGGGCGTTCTTTTATGTAAATACAGCATAATTATTAAATCAAGAAGCTAAACATTAATACAGTATTATGACCTAATGAATATAGCTCATACTTCAGTTTTGTCACTGTCCAATAATTTTCATAAAATATTTTAATTTTAGTCTCCATTCTAGGATTCAATCCAAGATCAGGCACCATGTGTGGTTTCTCATGTCTCATCTTTGGGGTTTTTTGTTGTTGTTGTTGTTTTAAGATTTTATTTCTTTGACAGAGAGAGACAGCAAGAGAAGGAACACAAGCAGGGGGAGTGGGAGAGGGAGAAGCAGGCTTGACCCTTGAACAGTAGGGAGCCCGATGCGGGGCTCGATCCCAGGACCCCTGGATCATGACCTGAGCAGAAGGCAGACGCTTAACGACTGAGCCACCCAGGCGCCCCTCATCTTTGTTTTTTTTAACTGGGGACATTCCTCCTACTTGCTTGTCTTTCATGACATTCACGATTTCGAAGCAGTGAGGCTAATGATTTTGCAGAATATCTCTTGGTTTAGGCTTGCCTGCCGTCTCCTCCTCCTTGCCCAGATGTTGCATCTTGGGCAGCACAGTACTTTGGAAGTGATCTGGTTCTCAGGGCGTCAGTCACATCAGGAGGTACAGGGTGTCAGCTCATTCCCTGATTGGCAATGTGAACTGTGATCACTTGGTTAAGTCGGTGTCGGCCAGGTTCCCCCCGTGTAAAGTTAATATTTCTTTACAGTTAATTAGTAAGAAATTTTAGGGGAGATGCTTTGAGCCCCTGCAAATGGCCCGTACTTTATCGTATTTGAGCCCACTGGCCCAGGGGTGATTCTTGCCTAAATCAGTTATTATAAAGCAACATGGGTGACTTTTCCTGCTCTCTCGTTCCTTACGTACAGTTGGCCCTTGAACAACACAGGTTTGAACTATGTGGGTCCACTTACATGCAGATTTGTTTTTCAGTAAATACAGTACAGTACTGTAAGTGTATTTTCTTTTTTTATGACTTTCTCAATGACATTTTCTTTTTTAGCTTTATTGTAAGAATACAGTATATGACACATGTGACATACCAAATATGTGTCATTTGACTATGTTATTGGTAAGGCTTCCTGTCAGCAATAGGCTATTAGTAGTTGTGTTTTTGGGGAGTCAAAAGTTATACACAGATTTTTGACTGTGCACGGGGTGGTGCCCTTAACCCCCATGTTGTTCAAGGGTCAACTGTAGTTGTTGGCATTCAGCTTTCCTTTTTCCCTTATTTATTACCAGCTCACACCTCATAGATTCTTATTTTATTCATTGGGTTAAAATCCGTTACTGTTGTTATTTATTTTGATGCCTAAATTGTCTTAGATTTGACCAGAGGTCACCCCTGATTCCTATGTCCTTTTTTTTTTAAAGATTTTATTTATTTATTTGAGAGAGAGAGAATGAGAGAGAGAGAGCACGAGAGGGAAGAGGGTCAGAGGGAGAAGCAGACTCCCCGCTGAGCAGGGAGCCCGATGTGGGACTCGATCCCGGGACTCCAGGATCATGACCTGAGCCGAAGGCAGTCGCTTAACCAACTGAGCCACCCAGGCGCCCTGTCCTTTTTTTTTTTAATTGAGCTATAATTCACATTAAAATTCACCTTCTTAAAGTGTACAATTTTTGAGTTTATTGTTAGTGTATTTACAGAGTTGTACCATAATTACTACTGTCTAATTTCAGAACATTTGCATCACCCCGAAAACAAACGCTACCCACTAACAGTCACGCCGTTTCTCCCCCTCTTTCAGACCCTGCAACCACTTACCTACTTTCTCTGTGGATTACCTGTTCTGGATACTTCATATAAATGCAGTCTTACGATGTACAGCCTTTTGTGTCTGGCTTCTTTCACTGAGCATGTTTTCAAGGTTTATACCTGTTGTAGCATGAATCAGTACTTGATTCTTTTCTGTCCTGGGTCATATGGTAACTCTGTTAACTTTTTGAGGAATGGGCAAACTGTTTTCCAAACGTAGTTGCAATAATTTACTCGTTCCCACCAGCAATGCATGAGGGTTCCAATTTCTCTGTATCCTCACCAAGGCTTGTTTTTCTTTTTGATGATGGCCATCCTAGTGGGTATGAAGGGCTCTCTTACTGTGGTTTTGCTCTGCACTTCCCTAGTGACTAATGCTGCTGAGCATCTTTTCATGAGTGAGCTTGTTGACCATTTGTTTGTCTTCATCGAAGAACTGTCTACTTAAATTGCTTCCCATTTTTTAATTGGGTTCTCTTTTTATTGTTGAGTTGTACGAGTTCTTTATGTACTCTTTAATATTAGAACCGCACTGGATATTCTATCGTATGGGTTGTCTTTTCTCTTTTTTTTTTAAATATTTTATTTATTTATTTGTCAGAGAGATAGAGAGCACAAACAGGGGGAGCGGCAGGCAGAGGGAGAAGCAGCCTCCCCGCTGAGCAGGGACCCTGATGCGGGACTCGATCCTGGGATTCCAGGATCATGACCTGAACCAAAGGCAGTCGCTTAACCAACTGAGCCACCCAGGTGCCCTGGCCCAGCCTTTTTATTTATTACTATTTAGCACTTCCTAGCTTTCTGGCACATTAAGATAATCCCTGGAGTAAGTAATTTTTTCAAGGAGATGTTCTTTGGGTGGAAAATGGTATTTGGAAACCAAGGTCTGGGTTGTACCTGAGGTGTCGTTGTTTCTGGTTTTTTAGCAGACAGATCTATCTCTCTGCATGTTGCAGGCCGAGTTTACACTGATACCCCCAGTTTCAATCCTGTATCACAGGGTTCTTCCTAGACCTCCCCCATCCATAGCTGTATCTCTTTTCTGCACCAGTGCATAGCCTCCCAACACCAGCAATACATCTCCCATCTGCTTGATTTCTGCGGTACATAGAGAAGTATTTTCGGAATTGCTACACTTTGTACCTCCGTGAAAAACAAATCTGCAGAGTAGAGTTTTTCCTTTTAATGTTTTTTTTTTAAAGAAAGCATGCACATAGGAAAGACTTCAAAGTCAAAAGAGCTTACAGGGAAAGTGAGTCTCCCCTTCAGCCCTGCTTGCCAGTCCCTGTGCGCCACCCCACCCCCCGAGTCACCCCTGCCCCCAACTTCCCAGGCACGCCTCCCAGACAGCATCTGTGTGCACACACAGGTGGCATGTGTGTCAATCCCCACCCTTTTTTTAAACACAAAGGGTAGCCTCAAGCGTGTGCTTTCCTGCACCTTTTCCCCCCTCCAGTTTGTCTCCGAGAATGTTGTCTCACTATGTAGATTTTTGCCTCATTCTTGCACCTGGTTGCTTACCATTGCATCCTGTGGTTGTGCCATCCTGTAGTAAATGCCCAGGCCTGGGTCCTTGCTTCCGATGGCCCGTTAACCGTGTGGTAGAATGGTTTCCTCTTGCGGGTCTGAAACGCTCTTATGCTGTGCCGTTGGTTAACAGATGGTGGTGGCCTGCTGCAGAGTGTTTACAGGGAGACCATGTTTTCTCAGATGGGGGTTTGTCAGTGCTAATGGTTTCAGGGGCGTCCTTGGGCAGAGAAGATTTGGGGATTTCAGGTTAAAAGGCGTTGGTTTCGGGGTGCCTGGCTGGCTCAGCCGGTGGAGCATGAGACTTTCGATCTTGGGGTTTTGAGTTCAAACCCCATGTTGGGCCTGGAGCTTACTTTAAAGAAGGGGTGGGGAGCTTTGGTTTCCTGAGAGCTGTTGCTTTGTCCTAAAGGGAATGTGGCCAGGGACTGTGCAGAGTGTGGTCCTCTGTGACCTGGATGGAGCAGAATGTGAGAGATGAGTGGCAAGCTGGGGTTTGGGTGGGTGGCAGTGTCAGAGTGGAATGCGGTGCTGCCCCGTCTCCCTGTGTAGGTCGGGGGCCTCCGGTCGGTAGTTGTCGGAGGCATTCAGTTACTGGTGCCAGCAACCCAGCTCAGACCAGGTTAAATGAACAGGCGGGGGTGGGGAACACTGGATTCATGGACTCAGGTAACTGAAATGTCCAGGCCCAGCTGGATCCGGGTGCTTATGGGATCCCCTCAGTCTACACTATCTTCATTCTCAGAGCAGTGCCCCCCCCCCAGCCCCGCAGGAGGTCACGGTGCTCCAGCAGCTCCAGTTCCCATTCTGTGTGTGCAGCGACTTGGTAGAATGCATCTCTCTCTCTCTTTTTTTTTTTTTTTTTAAAGATTTTATTTATTTATTTGACAGAGAGACAGTGAGAGAGGGAACACAAGCAGGGGGAGTGGGAGAGGGAGAAGCAGGCTTCCGGCTGAGTAGGGAGCCCGATACAGGGCTCGATCCCAGGACCCCGGGATCACGACCTGAGCCGAAGGCAGACGCCCAACGACTGAGCCACCCAGACGCCCCTAGAATGCATCTCTCTTCCAGGGCTTCTGGTCTTGGAGCCTAGACTCCCTGGCTCTCCTGGGTCATGTTTCTTTCCCTGAACCAAGGCGTTGCCATCTAAAGAAGGCACCTAGATGCTGGGCTGGAGAAAGGGGCAGATGCTCTGTCTGACCTCCTCTCTTCCAAGTCCCATGTGCTCTTGGCGGTACATCTGATTCTGGCCCAGCCATGGGGGTGGAAACCACACAGGCTTGGAGTCCTGAGCCAGAAACATCCCTGAACTTCCCTGGCAGTATCCTCTAAGTTGGTAAGAGGCATTAACCTGGGGACAGCGCCTTATGGCCCAAAGCCTTCTCAAACACGGTGTCTCACTCAAGACAGTAAAGAGCCATCCGGTGTGATGGTGAGGAGCATGTGCTTTAGCTCTGTCATTGCTGTCATCCAGCAAGCTACTGCCTCAGCTCCTCCAGCTACAGGATGGGGTACTAACAGTGTCCACTGCAGGGCATGGTGGGAAGGATTAAATGAGCTGAAATAAAGTACTTTCCCGTAGGAAGTGCCGAATCAGCTACAATCACAGCAAAGGACAGGGCCGGTACTATCACCCCATTTTACAGGTGAGGAAATGAACTGAGAAATGAAGCCACTTGCTCTGCTTGACCAGTTCCAAGGCATGCAGTTAAAAAGTGGCAGGACCTGAAACAGAAGCCGGGTCTTTCACCCTGGAGTTCAGGGCTCCCTCCTGGGCCTCCGAGCTGGTGTGGAGAAGAAAGGTAGCAGGGGCCAGATGTGCTCTCTGTGTCCTGATTCACTGCCAGTGTTTCCCTGCAGCCCTTCAGGGGACACCTCTGTCAGCCACCCTCTCCCTGGTGATGTCCCAGTGCTGCCGGAAAATCAAAGACACCGTGCAGAAACTGGCTTCGGACCACAAGGACATTCACAGCAGCGTCTCCCGAGTGGGCAAAGCCATCGACAGGGTGAGCGTGCAGGCAGCCTCGGGCTGGGGGTGGGGATACCCCGGAGCTAGTGCCTGGGGGGCGAGGCTCAGCAGGAAAGGTGAATGCTGAGTCACAGGGCCCTGTCTCTTGTCCTCGTCAGAACTTTGACTCTGAGATTTGCGGCGTCGTCTCTGATGCGGTGTGGGACTCGCGGGAGAAGCAGCAGCAGGTCCTGCAGATGGCTATTGTGGAGCACCTGTACCAGCAGGGCATGCTCAGTGTTGCCGAGGAGCTGTGCCAGGTAATGGCCTCGCCGGGAAGGTGCTGGAACCTGTCTCTTCTGCTTCTACTCGATGGCTGTCTTTATATTTGGTTTCCTATTCTTTATATAAACTTATTTTAGAAGGGAAATCATTGCCCCTGCCATAAATAGAAGATAGCTCTAAAAATACATACGATGGCAAGTGAAGCCATGAACCTCTAGCTAGAGTTGGTTGCCCGCCAAGGTTCTGAGCTGAGGCCTGATACCGCTTTCTTAAAAAGGGAGATTAGTAACATGACAAAGTAGTAACATGACAAAGTTAGGTGTTAAAAACACGCTAGCAGTAAAAGTAAGGGTACTTTCTCAATGTGATTAAGAGGACTGAAGAGGAATAATTTTCTCACCATGCTACTCAACACAGGTCTCTAAGACCGTGGGGCTGGCTTGGGTTTTGTAGTCTGCACTCCGGGAGGCCAGCCTGCAACACTTGGCCTTACAGAACTGGAATGTTCTGGAAACACAGTCCTTCAGTGGTGGGATTGTGCTGTACCCACAGGAGTCAACACTGAACGTGGACTTGGACTTTAAGCAGCCTTTCCTCGAGTTGAATCGAATCCTGGAAGCTCTGCACGAACAAGACCTAGGGCCGGCGTTGGAGTAAGTTGGCCCTTGGATGGGCCAGTGAGGGGATGGGGCCCATCTGTGGTCTTCCTGTCACCTGGTGTACTTGACACGCCTCCAGCCCTGTCTCATGGGCCTCACTTTTGGGAGCCCACCTCTCAGTCCCGGCTCTACCAGGGCCCCTTCTCCTGCCCCACCAGCTCCCTTTCTCCCCAGATGGGCTGTCTCCCACAGGCAGCGCCTGCTCGAGCTCAACAGCTCCCTGGAGTTCAAGCTGCACCGCCTACACTTCATCCGCCTCCTGGCAGGCGGCCCTGAGAAGCAGCTGGAGGCCCTCAGTTATGCACGGCACTTTCAGCCATTTGCACGGCTGCACCAGCGAGGTGAGTGCTCAGGGTGCTGGGGTGGGGGCTGCCGGGCTCCGGCAGGTGTCAGCAGGGCTCAGGGGGTTTGGCTCCGAGTCCCTGCCCCACCTGAGGGGCTGTGTGTAACCAGGATGCCTTTCCCCAACCTGAGAACTCTGACCCCTCCCTCACCATCTCCCAGGTGAACTCCAAACCCCAGGCTCTTCCCCTGCATCCGCCTCTGCCTTCCAGCTTCTTCTCAGGCCGCTCTGCACACCTGCCGTGGGGCACAGCCACACTCAGCACACGGGGCCGTGTGCACTCCTGTGCCTCAGCCCGGGCCTCGCCCACCTAGAAGCAGCCCCCTCATTTCCTTAAGACTCACTCGGCGCCTCTCCACAGCTTTCTTGTGTCACACCAGGATTTCCAGACCTCAGTCTGTGGAGTCTCCCCTTCCAGATGCTCACCATTAGTAACCACTTCTACTGGTAGTAACTGGTTCTATAGCTCCACTCCTACCCATTTGTTACCTCACATTTTGTGAAATCATAAAGACCAAGCACTGTCAGTAAATCTAGATACCACCTGAAAGTTTTTAAAAGGGAGAGTAGCTAGTGTTGGAGGAGAGAAACGTGAGCGCCAACCTGAGACTCGCTCCTTGGTGCACTTGGAAGGATGGGAAGAGAACTCAAACTCAGCTCCCTACGGGATTGCCTTGTGCCTGATGCTTGTTCTTGTCCCGCAGAAGCAGCCCCGAGACTCTGCCTCCACACTGGATTTTAGTGAAAATCAGTTTTGCCTGAGGGCATCTCAGGGCCTGTTCCTCCTGGTCAGGGGCCTGGGATCTTCGAGCCCCAGCCCGCGCCCCTGATCCCCTGCTCGCCCTGACCTGTGCCTGTGAACTGGTTGCCTTGCAGAGATCCAGGTGATGATGGGCAGCCTGGTGTACCTGCGGCTGGGCTTGGAGAAGTCCCCCTACTGCCACCTCCTGGACAACAGCCACTGGGCAGAGATCTGCGAGACCTTTACCCGGGATGCTTGTTCCCTGCTGGGGCTCTCGGTGGAGTCGCCTCTCAGCGTCAGGTATGGGGCAGTCCTGTGGGGGCAGCACAAGTGGGAGGGTCTCAGGGGAAACGATTGGTGGAGGCCATTCCATGTGCCAGGGGTGGTCCTTGGTTCTTTGAGACCTAAACTGGCTCTCTTAGTCATGCTTCTGGGGAGGAATTACCTGATTTTACAGTTGGAGAAACTGAGGTTAGGAAGAGTTGTGGCCTGCTGTCACTGCAAGGTCAGTGGCAGGGTCAAGGTTCCCCTTCTTTTTTTTAAAGATTTTATTTATTTTTTTTTTTAAGATTTTATTTATTTATTTGAGACAGAGAGAGAGAGAGCACGAGAGGGAAGAGGGTCAGAGGGAGAAGCAGACTCCCTGCTGAGCAGGGAGCCCGATGTGGGACTCGATCCCGGGACTCCAGGATCATGACCTGAGCCGAAGGCAGTCGCTTAACCAACTGAGCCACCCAGGCGCCCAAAGATTTTATTTATTTCTTTGACACAGAGAGAGAGATAGCGACAGCAGGAACACAAACGGGGAGTGGGAGAGGGAGAAGCAGGCTTCCCACTGAGCAGGGAGCCTGATGCGGGGCTCGATCCCAGGACCCTGGGATCATGACCCGAGCTGAAGGCAGACGCTTAACCAACTGAGCCACCCAGGCGCCCAAGGTTCCCCTTCTGTAAGGTCTTTCGAATGAGGTCTCTGTCTCACCTGCAAGGTCGGTGGCAGGGTCAAGATTCCCCTTCTTTTTCTTTTTTTTCCTTAAAGATTTTATTTATTTATTTGACAGAGAGAGATAACGAGAGCAGGAACACGAGCAGGGGGAGTGGGAGAGGGAGAAGCAGACTCGCCGCTGAGCAGGGAGCCCGATGCGGGGCTCGATCCCTGAGCCCAAGGCAGATGCTTAACTACTGAGCCACCCAGGCGCCCAAGGTTCCCCTTCTGTAAGGTCTTTTGAATGAGGCCTCTGTCTCGCCTGCACCTCCCCCCTGAGTTATCACAAGACCCTCTGCAGCCTGGCCTTCCCTCAGACCACTTCCCTTCGGGGAGATTTGAAAGTGCCTGAGTAACACGTATGGAGACCTTTCCCCTGGAAGCCTCCTGCACAGTAACGTTCTCATGACTGCACAAGGCCCTAGGAATTATAGGTAGTTTTCCTCATTTTACAGATGACAAAACACACAGGCCCAAGGCATGCGCGGACTTGCCCAGGGTCTTGCAGGGAATAAAGGGCATGTGGACCTGGTCCCAGAATCCCACGCTGCACCACAGTGCATCTCCCGCCCCACCCCAGGGGGAAGGTTTCCAGTTAAAGGACAGTGTTTTCCAGCAGGAACATCAGAGACACCTCACGATGGTTCTCGGGTGCATGATTTCCCTGAGCATCATAGGTACTTAGCCCTTGAAGCGCCAGCCAGTTGACTCCCCGCCCCTGCCTGAGTCACTGCGAGATTCGGATCTGCCCCCGTGTCTGAGTGTCCGCATTGACGATAACCCGTCGCAGAGGGGCATTACAACAGCAGAGTGGGGGAGACAGGCAGGCTGGGGCCCTTTTGAAACTGATAGCTGGCTCCATCACACTAGTGGCATTCCAGTGGTTTGGGTGAGCAGGTATCAGCCCCCTAGATCTTTGTCTTTCCCATAGGTCCCCAAACTCTGGGATGCATTAGAATGACGCTAGGGTCGGACACACATAGCTACCTGCTTTATGAGCGACCGGGGAGATTATCAAGGATCAGTCTGACCATGTGCCGCTTGAGCACCCTGCCCCAAGACACAGGCCGATGACCAGTGTGCTGGTGCCTCTGTCTGTCCGCTGGGGTCTTGGTCTGGGCCGCTGCAGCCCCTGCTCTTTGTTCCGCAGCTTTGCTTCTGGCTGTGTGGCGCTGCCTGTGCTGATGAACATTAAGGCTGTGATTGAGCAGAGGCAGTGCACGGGGGTCTGGAGTCACAAGGACGAGCTACCGGTGAGGCCTGGCAGGGCGGGGTGGGGGTGTGTTGTGGGCAGAAGGCCCTGGGAAGGGCGGCCGCAGCTGGAAGTGGGACTCAGCTCTCCACTGGCCTCCGCAGATTGAGATCGAACTGGGCATGAAGTGCTGGTACCACTCGGTGTTCGCCTGCCCCATCCTCCGGCAGCAGACGTCAGATTCCAACCCTCCCATCAAGCTCATCTGTGGCCACGTGATCTCCCGAGACGCCCTCAACAAGCTCATCAATGGAGGAAAGTAAGTACCCTGGGCTTTGCTCCATCTTGGCTCGGTTCCCCACCTCTGGCCAGCCCCCGAGACATTCTCTGTTCTCCCTGTGCAGGCTGAAGTGTCCCTACTGCCCCATGGAGCAGAACCCAGCCGATGGGAAACGCATCATATTCTGATACCTGCCTCGAAGGAACTTTGTCAGAAGGGCTTTCCACCCATGAGCCTTGCTCTGTCCTGGTGGGGGTGGCTGGCTTCAGTGGACTGTGGTTCATTTCCGAGCGACTGGCTGAGCGCCACTGTGGGCAGAGGCCAAGAAGGGAGATGAACTCATCTGTGCTGGGCAGCCGGCTCCTTGGCCGGAAGGACAGGAAGACACTGGCCTCGGCACTCCTGCAGTTGCCCTGTTTCTCTGGGCCAGTGACTTCATAGCAGCCCACAGAGAAGCAAAGCACTTGGCCAGCAACACAGACCTTTTCAGCCCTGCCCCCAGTGCCACGCCCGCCCCTCCCATTGTATGTATCCAGTCCCCCTTGTAAATAGTCCGGTTTGAACTGAATGCCCTGGTTTTATAACTGAGCAAATACATTCACAGGCCTTCTCCTTACCTCACCCGCCTTTAGCTTCACCGACAAGGAATTACTGCAGGCTCACCGCACCCAAAGAGAACCCAGCGTGCATCTCTGCCTGGGTGAAAAGGCCTGGGGATGTCACCCCAGACCATGGGCCCAAGGCTTTTACACAAACGTGTCAAATCTGATGCCCTCCTTACTAGGAATAGGAAGCGGAGTGAGGGGATTTAGGAAGATGAACGGACTTGCCCTACAGGGCTCACAGCTTGTAAAGGAGACAGTTCGGAATCAAAACTGGATCCGACCATCCATCTCAAGCTCTTTGCAGTTGACACCAGGGTGCCTGGAGCTTGGTTGCTGTGTGTCCCACTGAGCCCCGTGCTGGGCCTCAGAGAGCAGGAAGACACCCGAAGTCTGAGACGTCTGAAGGGACTGGGTCACCGGGGCCATTACGCCAAGCAGGAGAGCTGGCCTGGGGTTCATCTCTAGCTTCATATGCCTACTTCAGATGTGCTGTATGCGTGGCTAAATTGCTTCCAGAAGTTTCCCAGTGGCATTTCGGGCTTGTAGGGGCAGGGGAAGGAGGAAAGAGGAACGGGGGTGTCTTCAACACAGGGGCCGCAGGCTTTTTGTGCATGGGGTCTGCTGTGGCAGCCTTATGGTGCGGCTCCCACCAGTGGGAGGCGGAAGCCAGGGGTGGGCAGCAAAGAGTCTGTTCTCACCTGGGGTCTGGCACCAGCCCCAGCAGCCCAGCAGAAGCAACACCCTCTGAGTCCGTCGGGTTCTCTGGTGAGAAAGGCTGCGTCCACTCTCTCCTGCCCACCACCTCCTTGGCCCCACCAGCAGCTGCTGCCGAAAAACACACCCACAGGCTCAGCACACTTTAGTCTTAGCATTTACTTCCCCCACACTCCATTCTTGGACTGTCTGCACACGCACGCAACAGAAGATGCTCGTTGCTGGCTCTGCCTTCCGGAAAGAGCTGACGGAGCAGCCTGGGAAGAAGGCAGGCCACGGGGCCCAGGGAGACATGTGAGCACGGGCGGCAGGAGGCCAGCCAGCTGGCCCACCGCCAGCCCCGCAGCTTCCAGAGCAGGTGCCCGAGTCCTTCACATGGGGGGGGGCAGGGCCTGCACCTCCTCCAGGCACTCGTCGTAAGCCTCCTGGTACTCCTCATGCGGCTTGACCATGATCACGCAGGTGGGGCGCTTGGAGCCCGCGGCTGCACCCAGGTCCTGCAGACAAGGGAAGGCAGGCCTATGTGGGGGGAAGGCTGCACCACCTGTATGCTGGGGAGTCACGGACCCCTGACCCACAGGCCCCATCCAGCCCTCAGACACATCACACTGGCATTTCAACTCTGCCAACTTTCAAGCCTCGGGCCCACCACGCTGGGCCTATGCTGGGCTTGTGGTTCCAGAGGCTGCCGCCTGAGGCAAGGCCTGTGTTCTCCTGGTCCCTGTGTGAGGACCAGGCCAGCTAACAGTCCCTTGAACACCCCCTTTTCCCTGAGCACCGCAACCACCTAACAGGACTAACACGGGCTCGGCATCTTCACTGACGGAGCTCGTCCACGCACACCTCCTTGGTCATTCCTGAGGTCCACAAGGGCGGGAATTCCCAGTTGCCGAGAAGGAGACAGAGCCAAGGATGCATCCACATCGGTCTCAACTCCAAAGCCTGCATTTTTCCCCACTATGGCCTGCTTCCACAGACCTGCTGCCAGACCCCCTCCTCCAATGCTGACCAAGATCCCGGGGGGGGATCGTGTGTGCCTTACCGTCTTAGAGGGGATATAGACGTAGGGCAAGTTCCGGTCCTCACACATAACTGGGAGATGGCAGTAGACCTCAATGGGCAACGTGTCTCCTGCCAAAACCATGATCCTGCGGTGAGAGAAACACCGTCATTTCTAACTTGCCCATTCCTTCTTTCAGTTGATAGTGCTACCCTACCTCTGGACAGAGAAGATGGCCCCGGCCCTCAAGGACCCCAGATGCGAATCTCCCACCTTCTGAAAGTGCATGCAAATTTGTGTTTGGTGATCACTTCCTCTGGGGAGGTGAGCCCTAGTTCTTGGCAAATAAGTAAATGCCACACAGGGCGACAAGTGGGATTCCACTGGGACAGGTGAGGTATGGGAGTGACACCAAGGAGTGAGGAGAGCTCAGCTCTCCTTCGAGTGTCAAAAAAGGAATCAGGAGGCGACACTAGATCAGAAAGCTGAATGAAGGTGTCAGGCAGCCCTTCGAGGGGCTGGAGGAGAGGAAAGCATCTGAGGCTGAGAGAATCCAAATGGCTGCACTTAACCCAGGAGCTGGCGGATGGGGGCCTGGGATGGCTTTGAAATCCAGGGTAGGGATGGGGGCAGACAAGGAGGCTAGAGAGATGGGCAGTGGCCATACCCCGAGGCCTTGAGTGCCAGGCTGTGAAGCCTGAGCTCAGTCCCCAGAGTCACAGGGAACTAACGAAGGCTTGCCCGAGAGCCCTCAGGTAGGACTCCTGGCTGGCAAGTTGTCAGGGCTCTGGGGCAAGGGCCTTGGGAGTCCTGAAGACACCAAGGAAGAGTGTTGTCAGGGGGCGGTGAGAGGCAAACACAAGGAAAGAGCTCTTGGTGCCACGTACTGGGCCCACTCTCCTAGTTTTCCTTTTGTCTTCCAGGCTTTCCTCTGTCGGCATCCCTTCCTTCGAGTGGCCTTTCAGTGCTGGTTCCTCACAGCCTAATCCTTGGCTGCCCTCTCAGTACCTACTCCCTGGCTGACCTGGGCCATGGCCACGGCGTCAGGTGCCATGTATGTGCTGACAACTCCCAAATCTGTTCTCTCCTGCCTGGCCTCTCCCTTCCAAGCCCCCAGTCTGTGTGACCATCTGCCTATTTGACAGTTCTGCTGGGGGGAGGGGGGTGTCACGTGTCTAAAAGGCACCAAACTCGTGATCTTCCCACACAAACTTGGGCCCCTCCACTGTTCACTATCTCAGTGAGTGGGCCCTCTGCTCAGCTGGAATCAAGACCTCCTCACTCCACGTCCCGAAGTCCTCTCAGATTCATCCACTTGAATTCCGTTTCAGCCACCAATAACCTAATCAACATCGCCCTCACCTCTCCTACACTGGAGCAGCCTCCTAGCTCAATTTCGTCTACTCTTGTGCCCCTGATCCTTTCCAGAGCTGCCAGAAAAATCTTGGCAAGGGTAAACACAATCATGTCACTCCCTGGCTTTAACCCTCGGTGGCCTGCAAAGCTCTGACTGAGTACAAAAACTCAATTCACCATGGCTTAGGAAGCCCGAGGAGAAGACAATGCTTCTGTCGACCACTATCCTCTCTCCTGCCTGGGACCCAGTATCTTTCTGGCAGCACCCCGGCGCCCTAGGTCAGACTTCCCACTGAGCATCGCATCCCCCCAGCACATTTACCTCTTGAGCACCCACAGTGTACTGGGATACATCAGAGACCGAGCACCGAGAGGCTTTAGGGTCTGGCCTGAGGGGGAGAAAGATGTCCTGAAGGCATTCTCACTGCACCCTGTGCATTCCTTCGCAGGTATCTCAGGACTTTCTATGAGGGAATGAAGCTGGGCTCGACCCTGCGTGAGCCCCGGAACTCACTCTCCCGGTGGTGTTCCTCTGAGCTCTTGTGAGTGACGTGTACCCGAGGGAACTCACCGCCGACTCCATTACCTCGTGTATAGGGGGCGGATCACTTTTACCGACTTTCGCCGAGCCCCTCCCGCGCAGTGGGGATACCCGTGCCACCGTCCAGAAACGCAAAACCCGGCGGGAGGGGAGCCTTACCCTTTCTCGCCTTTGTTGATAAACTTCTGAACCTCCTTCACCCCGCGCCGAATCTGCTTCTGCTTCACGGCTGCAACGACAGAAGAGTCAGTCGGGGGGCGTCGGCCCGCCCCCCGCGCCACCACCAGCCACCGCGGCGGCCGCAAGCACCTTTTTTTTTTTAAATATTTTATTTATTTGAGAGAGAGAGAGAGCACATGAGAGGGGGGAGAGTCAGAGGGCGAAGCAGAATCCCTGCCAAGCAGGGAGCCCGATGCGGGACTCGGTCCAGGAACTCCAGGATCATGACCTGAGCCGAAGGCAGTGGCTCAACCAACTGAGCCACCCAGGCGCCTACCTTTCTTGATGCACTTGTAGAGCTTCCGCGTGAGACGGCGAGAAGCCAGGGGCTGCGAGATGGGGTTCAGATTCACCAGCAGCTCGTGGTAAGTGCGCTCCCCGAGGCACGCCTCCGCCTGAGCCTCCGGCCCGTCCGGATCTGTCTTTATTTTGGTCATCGCAGCGGCCGTGGCAAACGGGTACCCCGCGCCAGGCGAACTCACGCGGCCCGGGCCTCGGGAATCACTTCCGGGTCATCCCATACTGCGAGAAGCCGGCCGTACAGCACAGCCAATTAGGGGACGAAGTCTCTGACTCAAACCAATCGCTGACGCTCAGCTCTTTAAATACAGACCGGGAGGGGCGGGGTCTCGGCTGGAGGGGCGGGACTCGCCCAGGGGCCTCGGAGGCGAGGGGCTGGGCCCGGCGGGAGGCGGGGCCCGGCGAGGGCGGGAAGGGACGAGGACGGGAAGGGACGAGGACGGAGGCTTGGGC